GCTGCAGTGACTGTGTGTCTGTGTCATGTCTGTGCAGCTGGGGGGGACCGCGAGCCGGGCCGGGCTCGGAGCGGGGGCGGGGCCGGAGGCCGCCTGGGCGCCCGCCCCCCACCCCGTGACAGCGCAACCGGCCAATGGCAGTCGCCGAAGCCGCGCGACTCGCCGGCCCGCCCCCACCGAGGCTCCGCCCGTCCACTTCTCCAGCTCGCTCGCACGGAGGCGGAAGCAAACACCCGGAGCCAGGATCCCGGGCCGGGTCGGACAGCAAGGGTGCAAAGCCTGGAGCTCCCCGCCCTGCTCCCCCACCCGGACCGCTCCCGGCCGCCTAGGGCTCGGCGTGGCTGGTGGGCAGCGGGGGAAGGGAAGGGGCCGGTCGGCAGCTGCCGCTGTGGAGGCGCGTGCAGGCTGGCAGGGCCGAGCGGGCAGGCCGTCGGCCGCCGTGGGAAGTGGGAAGTTTCCCCGCCTCCACCTCTCACTCGGAGCATCGCTGTCCCCGGAGGGGGACAGGGATCGGGGCAGTCTCGGGCTGCAAGAAGCCACGCTGGCGGGCCCGACCGCTTCCCTTCGGTTTCGGTTGCCAAGAATTCATGCCCATTCTTTCAAGGAAACTGCGTGTCTGTCCACTCGCATACTCCGCGCACACAGCACGCCCCCTCCCCGGTCCCGTTCATTCTTGTTCTTTCCTGGCAGACCAAGAGCCCTCACCCCCAAGCCCCCGCGCGCGCGCGCGCGCGCAGCGCTGGATGGCAAGCACTCGCAGCCTCCCAGCACTAAGCACTAGAGTGGGGGTGCCCAGGACACCCCCTCCCCGGGCTCCGGAGGCAGAGGGTGGAATGGGTCGGGACAAAGCGGACGGGAGTGTAAGAGTGGAGGGACGGAGAAGGTCTCCGGAGGAACCCCCGAGCAGCAGCCAGATGGCAGAGGCAGGGGGAGAAAGAGGACCTTAGGCGGGGACCAACTCCGACTGGATACACGGGCTCCTCCAAGAGTGCGATCCAGCTCGCCAGATTTTGCCTGGGTTCGGTCCCAGAGCTTTGGGGTCCTCCCCACCTTCCCGCCCCGGGCTCCGCTGCCTGAACTCGGTGCTCCAAGCTCTGAGCACCTGCATTCCGACTCTGCGTCGGGAAGACCACCTTAGTTCTTGGAGGGGGCAAGGGGGAAAGAGAGATGCAAAACAGATGCAAAAGTGCAAAGGAAAAGAGAGCCACCCCGGCCACCGCGCTGACCAGCTCCCCAGAGGTCAGGCCAGGGCCCCAAGGGGTCGGAGGTCAGGCCAGGCCCCGCGCAGTGCTGCAGACAGGCTCCAACCCCGGTCCTCAAGCTCTCGGTCCGTGAGCCGGACCCTCCAGAGCCCCGTTCCCCACCCCACCCCACCCCCGGCCGGTCACTTCACTCTAAACCACAACCACCCACCAACGCCGCCACCGCTGGCCCTTGCCCAGTTCTGGAGCTCGTTTACCTAATCTCAGAGAACGCGAGAGGAAGGTAGCAGCTGCCCCGCCGCGTCCCCGGCAAGGAAGTCGCAAACAACGCTGGCTTGGGCGCTTCTGGATAAGTTAACTGCGAAGCCCAGGTCCTAATGTCTTATCTGCGGGCCCGAGTCTCGCTGTTCAGGTTGCAGAACGAGAAAGATCGCTTCTGGTTTTGATGCCATTACCGTGTCGGAGAGAAACATTATATGATAAAATATTATCTCATATCCTAGAGACCATTAAAGTGTCAAAGTTTAATGCCAAGCCTTTTAGCTAGAATGCTGCTCACTGCTTCCTGTGACACGCAGCTCCGTGGCGAGTGCACTGGAAACAAGGGGACCTTTTTTTTTTTTTTTTAAGGATTCAAGTCCTTCCTCTCCACTCTTTTCCTCCTCCTCCACCCGGACACCCACCACAGAACCCGTGCTTTATTCTTATGCATTGCTTTGCTTCACTTCATTAGTGGTGTAAAATGCATTATTACAATACATTAGCATATTAATAAAGGCAGTGTGGCTGAGAGAGGGAAGGAGGGACCTGAGACTTACAAGCACAGGAGAAATAATTGAATAACAGCAGAAAAGAAAAGATAAGCATGGGGGGGGGGGCCACCTCCGATTTAATTAACCCAAGTGTAGTCCCTCTTTTGATTGAATTTTAGGAAGGAAGAGATGACCAGCGTGGGGTAGAGAGAGCAATATTTGTGCTGCTGATCCGTGCGTTACCTTGAAGACGGAATGCGTTCTTTAGGAAGTTTCACAGGGCTTACTTACATGGATGAATAAGCAACCATAGACTTTCGAAAAAGCTTTGCTCCTTCAGTCCAATGTGGTGGGGATTGCATGTGTGTTTAGATCAGTGCCATACCTATTGCTCTAAATTACTGGAGTATTGTCAGGCAGAAATATTTCACGAATTGAATCCTTCGATCAGTTAATATATCAAGCACCACTTAAGCTCCACAACTTAAGATTTCCTTTGGACAATTGCAAAGGCCCTGAGCACCCAAGTCCAAGCAACGTTAAGATTGTTGAAACACTCAAAAGATCCCTGAATAATGCC